CTCAACATCCGCTCCATACTCTATCTCAGCATCACGGAACCTCGTCATCTTCGTAGCCGTCAGTGGTGTTGCAGACCTGGCCATCTCCTTGATCTTGTCGGCGCTTTTAACTATAGAATGCACCGTAGAGGGAGCCAAGCCGTGCACGCGCCCAATCACTGACGTTCCTTCTCCGTGTTCATGTCTTTTTACGATATCCAATTTCATGTCCAACGTAACTGCCACACGTGATCTCTTGGTAACATTGCTGGGAGTTTTAGCAGCTGGTCGCTTAGGCATTGCGAGATCACACAAAACACAACTGCGAGATTACACAAAACTACACGCCAGCATGTGAGAGACTGAGGCGAGCGGGGGTGTATGACGGAGGAATATGTACACACGCTGTCCTACGCTACAGTTGAGGCGTGCGGTTCAAAACTTTTGCTCGCAAGAATTTGCGAATAAATGGGGCAACCATCGCGAATAGTGGAAATGGGTAACAATAAATTGATTGCGGATAAACGGGGTTACAAATACCAAGGCTATGAATAACGGGGTTTGCCTGTACATCTAATTTGGCATATATGATTCCTTCAGGCTACACTCTTAACACTTCTCATCATTATTAATTAGAATTTGAGTGCACATTCCTGAAGTCAAGACCCTCATAACAACTGTGATAAATCCTAAATATCTTGCAGTAAAAACAACCAATAAATAGTACAGTAGTATGTAGTGCGATATACGTACAGGTTGGCCGTGAGCTTCTCTTGAGCGGACAAGACAGCCGGGGAGTAAAGCACCAGGGCACCAGGTTCATCAGGGTCATGCAATGATCGCCTCACACCATTACGACGGATCCCCAAGCATCGAGATCCTCGACTTACATAATTAGGGATGGGAATCTTAAATGGCTTGGCGAGAATTTTCCGAATCAAATCCTCCTGATAAAAGGAAATTTTTGTATTAGCAGTTACAGCAACAACATAAAATACTGTCTATACCTGTACAGTATCCCACTATGCACAGTCGTGAACAAAAGTCCTGTTGCCGATTTTGCTGCTCCATGAACCCCAAGATTAAGACTCGTGAATCTCAAGCATTTATGGACAGAATAATGCATCATAATGCATCAGTGTCTACTGCTTCAGGTTCATGAGTCTGAATCTCAGGGTTCATGGAGCAGCAGAAAAGGCGACAGGACTTTTGACCGTGACTGTACATGATAAGTGTTACAAATGAGAAAAAATTAATCTTTAGCCTGGGGAAGCTCAAGAAACAGCTACATAAACAGCAAAGAGTTAGAGGAAATGATACCTAAGATAATAGTACAAGTTCAAAAGATGACAAGAAAAGGCTAAAGTTGCATATAGTAATTCCTAAACACAGTTGCAGACATACAGTACTATACAAGGCAAATGCATAAATAGCTACCTTTATAAAACAGCAATGAATTTATCATTAGTCTGTGATCCTGCTCAGAAATTTAAAAGGAGATTCCCATGCCTTTAATATTACAACTTTTTTAACTACATTAGTAAAATAAGCTAGAGACGATAAACTTTGGGTAAAAATACATTAAGAGGAGAAGTGGTGCACTTCTATGGATGTGATCTTACATGAGAAGAAGTTTGTCCTGTCGGAGTATTAACAATTGGTACAAGAGGAGCCCGATAGGGAGAGACCAGGAGCCCTGGCCCTGCCTTTTCTACCACCTTTTGCCTCTTAGAATCTGACTGGCTAACAGCCACTTTTGGGCCAATTGTGAAACCACAGTCATTCTTCCGTTTAAGCAACTGACTTGGGGCATGGCTCCGCCTCTGTGGAAATTGATAACAAAAGTGCTAATTAAAATGCAGAATGGGGATCTGACAACAAAATTGTGGCTAACCCATGGAAGCATAGGAAATGGATATAAAACATTGATGATGATGAATATCTGTTAAAATCAGTGTCTAAGTGTCCATCTTAACATCTTTCCGTTCACACACACACACACCAGCATATTCAGTATTACATGCCATTTTTTACTAAAATATTCATTTATCTCTTAACTAGTTACATGGGAGATATCAGGGAGTATATCATAAACAATCTTCACTAACTAATAAGTTCTAAAGCCACATTACGGTACAGTGGCTGATGTGTGTTACCACTGTCTAGTGTTATTCATGATTCAAACAGTTATGAGCATCAATTTACATCCATCAGAAATAACAAATACAGGGTCATATTTTTATTTGAGAACCTTAAATTATTTTTACATTTTAGGAAGTGCAATAAACAGTAACCTAAAAATCGGTAGGAATAAAGTGTAATCACAAAAATGTATTTATGTCCTTCACAATGATATGATCAAACTCTTTAGGTTCCTGTTTATTGCATGTCCTAATATAGAGTTATCATTTTGGGTCCTAGAATATAAAAGTTACCCTGTACAGTATATAGGTGAAGATCCCAATAAAACTCCTTTACAATGGAGCATCATTCTAGAAATTTACCTCACTACTCTAGACAAGTCAGAACTGTACTGTAACATAATGTACACAGCAAAGAATGGCCTCTTAAACTTACCATTGTAATGTAACTTTTCCCCGACTAATTACACTAAGCAACTCGTGTGTTCCATAGCTATTGATCTTAACCAATTCCTTCCATCCTCCATGACAGCTACACTAATGGGCTTCAGCATCCACTGGAAGCGTAGTACTGTACTGTACACTCTGGAATCTGGAATAAAAAAAAAAATCAACCGGGGGATCTAGGGGGCGGAGCTCCACGCATAGGTTAGATAAACTTTAATTTTGTCATTCCTGTATTTATATATCCAACCTAACCTAACCTAACCCAACCTAGCCACAGAACCCAGGAACTATATCTAACTTAACCGAGGGGTCAGGGTTAAATTCCTAAGATTCCCTGGAGATCCGAAATTAAAATAATACCCGAAGTAGGTTAGTTCATTTTCGAGGGAAGTGTCATATAAGAAAAGTGTCTTAAAATTGTCTAAACCATCAGAAAAACACATTGCTCAACTCAAGAGCCGTGGTTGGTCAACACTACAAACTGACTGATTCTAGACTCACATACACACTAACACATTAGACCTATATCTTGCCATAGCTACATGGTAAATACTGCCAGTCTATCATGCAGTTCCAAAGGCCCCCATTAGGTATTTTTGCATTTACACATTCCACATTCCTACCACTAATCTATTATCATATTCTAATAAGACGTATAATTATAACAGAGGTTACAACCAAAAATGTCTATTCCATTAAATCGCCATTATTGCCTACCTCACCTCTCAGACTGCGTGTCTCCTTCATAAATCATCACGCGCATGCGTTCCCATACACGTCACGCGACCAATCAAAAGCGTTTTTTGGAGGGCAACCAATTAAAACGATTTGTGGTTTAATTCGTGGTATTTTTGGCCCAATCAAAATCGATTTATATTTTGGGTCTCATATTTTGAAATTCAAATTCATTTCCGACCATGGAAGTCTGTGATGGGTGTCACTTAAATTATATGGAGTTGCAGGATGAAACGAAGAACTATAGTATTTATCGCTGTGTTTCCAACCCAGTAAAAAGACTGAAATATCAAGAAAACACACTGTATGCGGCATTGTGTAAGAATCTGAGAATCCAACGACGAACAAGAACCAGCCCAATAAGGTAAGAAATAGGTGATTCCATCATATGGTGCGAGTCAGTTAGGTTAGGTCAGGTTTGGTTTTTGTTTTTCTAGTGTGTTTTGGTGTATTTTTTATTCGCTTAGCCATTATTTTTTTTTTAAAAACGTCCCACGGAAAAAAAAAAAAAACGATAAAAAACAGCCAATTTCCGACGGAAATGAAGGTCATATTCGGTCTAAACACACACAAATACAATAGAAAAATATATTTTTGACTTTCTAACAGAGTGGGAGGTGAAAGTGCATATTTACCCCCCATTATTGTCAAGAAAAATTTTTACCACACATTATTATAAGAGGAGAAAAAGTCGTATACTTACACCCATGACAGCTGACCTTGACCTCTCTATCTCAACATTCCGGTAAATACCTCCTGCGGGAGCCACGAATTACCCAAAAGTACCCAAAAGTATAGCAAATAAGGGTAAAATCTTAACGAATATCTGTTATACATACACAAAACATGTTTAATAATATTTTTAGTGTAATTTTGTAAAAATAATTTGTAAGATGAAATAATAAACAGCGAAAAACTTTCAGTATTGGCGAACGTTGAATTCCAAAGAGTTGGTGAACAAGGGAGATAACTCAGATTCATCGTGATGCACTTCGCTAACCTAACCTAACCTAACGAAAAGTAAATCCTACGGCTGTGTTAAATACCCCAAAGTAACAGAAACATCGGTAATTATATCTCCATTTTGGATAGGTGACTCTTTGGAATTTAGCATTTTTCGCTGTTTATTATTTCATTATTTTGACATTTCAATGAAAACATTATTAATCAGGTTTTATTGATGTAAAACATATATTCGTTAAGATTTTACCCTGATTTAATATACTTTTGGATACTTTTGGGTAATTCGTTGGACAGCGTCCTGCTGTTCACTGAATAACCAAACCTAATTTATATCACCGACATTAATTAAAAATGCTAATAATAATATGGTGCAGCATGAATATAAACAATGTAGGTATACAGAGTACGTAGGCCGTGGGAGGGTAGTTACCTGTGTGCAGACAGTAACAGGTAAACAATGTTAAACAGCAAGGCAACTTGACCAAGAACCGCCGACAAAGCTGTCAGTATATCTTACATGACATGACGATTAATTCTCACCTTAGTCGTGGGATTGTTGGTAATGAAATGGCACCGTCAGATTAGTCTACTCTCTCTTTTACATCTTCAAACATGTCGAAAAACTTCACCTTTTTGGACAATTTACATAAAAAGACTCAGAGGTAAATCATACAATGGTGGCGGTCTATAAGTAGTACAACATGTCTTTCTTATGAGATTAATATCCGTAAACACTATTTATTTTGCAATATAAACTATTGTATAAGAGAGTTTATAAATGTCCAATGCTCTTTTGTTTTACGTTCTCTCACTTATTTCAGGAATTTATTTGTTTTCATCAGAGACAAACACTATTATAAGAAAGACAGGAAAGCCAGGCGGAAACCGCGTGAGCCACATAGCATATAGTTGGCCGCGGGGTCAACCAGTGTGCAAGGCGCGGGTCGTCTGTACGTTGTAATGGCACAGTGGTTCCCAACCTTTTTTCTAGCGACCCCAATCATGCACCTCGAGCCATGACCGCGACCCCCCCACTGGTTAAGGTAAATATATATATATATATATATATATAAATATATATATATATATATATATATATATATATATATATATATATATATATATATATATATATATATATATATATATATATATATATATATATATATATACACACACACATACAAAAAGTCCTCCCTTGATAAACCTTTAAAGCATACACTTGAACACTATATTATTGAATGTGACACTGTTAAAGACTTCAGGCCACCTGACTTATTGTATCTTGAACTATGTAATTACTTCATTGAATCAGGTGTGCTTGAGGACATTCTTGCTGTTTATCCCAAATTTGTTAGCCCACACTGATTAGTCTTCAATTAGAATATGACTCCAATGTATGTGATCCACTGACCTATATATGCTGCTGGTGAATGTGATGTATTTCCTTCTTTGTGTACGAACCTCTGTCCTGCATGGCAGTGAACAGTGGCATTACCCACATGAATCTGACCTATATATAGTGTCAATGAATATGATGCATTCTTTGTGTACGAACCTCTGTCCTGTATGGCAGTGGAAAGTGACATTACCCACATGAATCTGACCGACGTATATGTATGTATGTGTGCGTGTGTGCATGTATATGTACGTGTACATGTATATGTGTATGTATATACGTATATGTATGTATATGTGTGTGTGTGTGTTTACATATATGTATATGTACTGTCAATGAATATGATGCATCTCTTTGTGTACGAACCTCTGTCCTGCATGGCAGTGAACAGTGACATTACCCATATGAATCTGACCTCTATACATTTATAGTTGTTAATGAATATGATGTATTTCTTTGTGTATGAACCTCTGTCCTGCGTGGCAGTGAGAAGTGATACCACCCTCAGTGTCAAGACCTGATTGAATTACTCAGAATAGGCAAACTGTACTACAAGCTCTGCCAATAAATTTGTTAAACCAAAACTATGCATTGTAATGGCACAGTGGTTCCCAACCTTTTTTCTAGCGACCCCAATCATGCACCTCGAGCCATGACCGCGACCCCCCCACTGGTTAAGGTAAATATATATATATATGCTGATAACCACAAGCGAAAGGAAGAAAACACGAAAGCCCCAAGCGCTGTAATTCACATCTGGTGAGTACAGACCAGAGAGAGTAATACAAATCATGTATATATACAGAGGAGGGTGAGACCAGGTATATATACCTTGATTTAGGCTTCTAGTCTGTACCACCCTGAAGATGAATTACACGAAAGCGTTTTGGGGAACCCTTTTTTCTTCTTATAGCATCGCTATGTACCCAGATCATGCATCCACAGTGATTTATATATATATATATATATATATATATATATATATATATATATATATATATATGTTATTATTATATATATATATATATATATACAGTGTCAATTTAGGGGGTGAACTGGCTAAATTGAAAATCGAGTAATTTGGTAGCAATTTATTGTAGTCTTTAAGCATGCAAAACAATATTCTGGCATAAATTTTTTTTTATAATAAGTCCTACCTACATCAAATGGATTTTTAAATGTACATATTTGTGAATTTATAACATAACCAGCGTTTGCACACATGTTACTGTTTCAAGTTTCAAATTATTATATTTTATAATCCGTAGTCTATTTGAAAGTAACCAATGCCTTCATACTCTCTTTGCTTTGGTTTCTTGTCATCAGTAGTCTGTTTGCTATTTGTGCTTTGATGTAACCTTCTCGCCTCTCGTGGCTGTAAACATGGCCTGCTGCTTCTGTGACCATTTTCACACATCTCTCCACACTTTGAGTGTGGGAAGGCCACTTCGGCACCTGCATTGGAGTCTCTTTAAGGTTTCTCAATTCTTGGCTAGTTAGACTTGTTGTCAATGGTGGCTCTAAGACTTCCAAACTCAAGTCAACCAATTCTGACAATTTGGTGGCATTGACGTTTATTGGGGGAACTTTTCTTGAATGAAACGAACAGTCTCCCAACTGGTCGTCATCTATTAGTGTTCCTCTAATCTTTAGAATGACTTCTACAGCCTCGGTTCGGAGATTGGTACATTGACTGCAAAGCATTGCTTGCAAAACTGCTTCTGATCGAGCATACCAAGCGGACCTTCTTGCCACAGGTAACACGATGTCCCTCACTACCTTCCTCTGTGTTCTTACTAGCTGCAATTGAAACAAAGGGTGATTGGGCCCATCCACCCACATAGGATTAAGTTTCACACTAAACCACTGGGGAAGATAAACTCCAATAATAAATTCAACAATTAACCTCAAATTCTTCAGCACTTTGCCCTTCAATTCGTGTTTGGAAATCCAAATCCTGCAGAAACGAAGAGCTGTGGTTAACCAACGGCTGTGACTGACAGGTCCAATCTCCAAGAGAGCCAATGACTGAGGCACTTCTCCTGATCTTATTGCTTGGGCAATACGATAAGCATAGGATTGATCTGTGCTGAGATCTTTGATGACTCCTTCAGACAACGCCGGAAGGGGAGGGCCAACTTCGACCTTTGGAAAGGTTGTATTTATTTCTAGTTGTGTTGCCTCATCCAGCATGATGCCAAGGGGACCTGACCACTTGTTGTTGCTCTTTGTAGGACCATCAAGTTCCTGGATGAGATGACGAAGAGGTAGCTCGCCTGTATGTAAATCACATACAATCCAAACAAGTCTTCTTCCTAGTTTTTTCTCTAAATGCGTCATTACACCCCCCTGCCATCCGGTGTTCACTGCAGTTGAATCTCCACCAACAGTCTGCAGTGAACTGCCAAGTCCTCTCTCCTGAACCCAACATAAAATATGATCAGCAATGACCTCTGCATGTTTCTTCCCTTCTACTTCAGTTTCGGGAGCAAAGTGAACAAAAACCGACCACCAGGCTCAAAACAGACAGAGTAGTGTTCTTCTTTGATGAGACCTGGAAACTTTCTGTTCACTCCCTCTACTTCTAGCAAAACTTTTGTGTCATCTATTCTTCCATCAAACAAAAGACAGGAGAGCCCTCCCTCGCTTAATTCTTTTTCATGCTGATCAGATATTTCCTTCATTATTTTTTCTTGTGCTCTTCTAATTTTATTATGATCTATCACCAAAGATACATCCTCTCGGCTGATGAGGCCTGCATCTATCCAAGCGGCAGTTGCAATTTCTGCAGCCTCACGAAGTCCAGCATGGTGGCTAATACTAGCTAAAGCAATGTTTGAAATATTTCTTGTGTTGTATTTCATTTTCTTTGGTAAAGGTTCAGATGGCTCTTTGGAACTATCATCTGATGTTGCTTCCTGTTCATCAGAAGAACTATCAAAGAAGTGATAAACATCTTGACACAGCTCTTCCTCTCTTTGGATGGCTTCTTCACTCTTCATTTCTTCTTTTGTTCCCTCTCTCGGATTTGTTCTCTCTTCTTGGCATTAGCAATCTGCTTCTTTGTTTCTGAATAATCTATTAAACCCATTTGCATACTTCCTTGGCCTTCTGCCTTTGTCCTCTGTGCCTTTATAAATTCAAGCTCTAAAACAGGGATCTTCTTTTCACGAGGACAACCACAATCAATGTGGGAATTATTTTCTCTCTTACCTGAGTGAGAACAGTTGGATTCAGAACATAATTGTATGGAGCACTTGCAGGTCAAAATGTCAAACAGAGTATCAAGTGTGTGCAGAAATTCATTTTTCCTGGCCAAGTTTCCTTTACCAAGTGATGTTTCAACTGCTTTGTGCCATAATTTCGTTAGTTTTAGCTCAATAGTTCGACACTGATTAATCACAGGTGGTTTGAATAGTGCATTAGCTTTTGTCCATTGATGCAGAAGAGGACTATCATGTCATTTATGAGTTCTTTATCTGTATAGTTCCTTCTGTCCTTTGCATTTTTTTCTCGAAGGAGTAACCCTAATCTTAGCATGTCTCTCACTGTTGGAAGTTCTGATACAGGAAGCTCCTTCCCTTTACCAACTAGCAGGCTCAAGTGGGTTGACAACTGACTTCTTGTCTTCAATTTTGACATCTTCACACTATCTGACAAATAGAAAAATATTTCAATGTTTCATAATTCAATTGTTTCAAAAAATATCAATTTGTTTATCAAAAATGCTGTAACAGAAATAACATAATAATTTCTTAGAACATAATGTTTTATACAATGATATAAGTAACTGCGACAATCAATATGCCCTACTTACAATAATTAAAATGTAGAATTCGTCTGGTAGAGTAGGTGCAAGTGTAATGAGAGCAAACCACCGTCTATGATATCTAGAAGGAGAGTGAGCCGGGCGCCTTATCCTCACGCTTGGTACAAGTCAAAACAAGAATTATACTGTCCCACACGGAGAGCCTGTTCATGTTCATGTTCTGACATGCATATTGTACACAAGCTACAGAACCATAAAATACTCCATAATCCATATGCTTACATGAGATTAGTTAATATCAAGTGAATAATTCTAATCAAGTCTCATTAATTTGTTGAAATACTGATATTTGAAACTTTAAGGTATAATTGATGTAGGTGAGGGTTATTTCAATTCATTTTTGTTTGCTAATCTCAAGTTTAGACATAAAGAGGCACAATATTTTGACTACCAAATTTGATTTTTAACATGTTGACAAAATTGACACACCCTAATGAGCGTGAAACACTAAC